GGAAAATTTCTTCCTTTATATTTCTTTGTGCTATATTATAAAACAAATATAAAACATTTTTTCCGTACTGATATATAGTTATATCAACACTCGTGGAATTGTGAAAACTCGAAATTGTGTGAAAACACTCCGCCCTTCGGGCGTCGTGTTTCCACACAATTTCTCGTTTTCCCAATTTCCACTCGTGTTGATATAACTGTATATCAACACGGAAAATGTTTTATATTTGTTAAATATCAAAGAACGTTTTATTTACTTTTTCCCATTTTCTCAAACTATTTTCTCAAAATGTATCGCGTTTCATTCATACTGGGTGTGTATTCACTGAAATAAAATGTACAAAACAAAGTGTAATTGGTGTGCATCCGTGTTCATTCACCGGAAATGAAATATACGAAACGAAGTGCCATCGGGTTCATTTTTCAGTGTTCATTCACCGGAAATGGAATGTACAAAACCAAGCTACCGTTGTTTGCATCTAAGGAGAAACACGTTGGAGAAAACACTATTTATTCCAACACAAGGACTTTGATCGGTCAAAAAAACTTTCCCAATTTACGTTTAACGGACAAAACTTTTTTTCTGGCTAACACCCTGTTCATGTAGCTAAGCATGTACAGTGGCAGATATGACCCGGGCTATATAGTCTGTTGTTGCCTTTGAAGCCTGTCGTACACAAGAGAAACACATTGAGCAGACCTGACCGCCTCGCGTGGTGGCTAATTCAGCATGATTCTCTCGTGTGTGGATAGTTTTCGTGAGGATTTGACCTCACGGGGCCTTGAGGAAAATATCTATCGTGTTTAATATTTTTCACCTCGCGAGGGAAAAATCTCAACGTCTGCGGATGTTGCGAGCTTAGTGCTGAGCTGCTTCAATTAACTAGCCAATGAGAACCTATAGTTTCTTCATGTGATTTTGGTCAAAATGGCGACAATGGTCAATGGAGGGAAAACAACCTCATCAATTACAATGTTGTTGAGTGGTTTTCCCAACGTGCGTGGTAAAATTGCATAGCTGCGCTATCCACCACCAGAGGCAAGTTTCTGTCTTGTGCGCGGCAGGATTCAGCCGCTGAGTTTCGCCTACTGTATCTCGAGTGCGGGGGTCTGACTTGATCTGCTAAATACCTTTTCCTGCAAAACCTGCTTATTTTCTCTCGTCAACTCGTGTACTTTTATTTTGTTTTCATGCAACTCTTTCTCCATCTCGTTATTAATGCTCGACAGTTCTGCGTAAAGCTCTTTTTGTTCTATCAAGATTTCCTCGCCCTTTGCACGGTCTTCTTGTATTTGCAGATTGGTCGACTCAAGCTCGTCTATCTTGCTGTTTCCAAGATCGTTTTGCTGGCTGAGATTTTCCAGTTCTTCTTCCAAGCGCTGAATACGTTGTTCGTTTTCACTCTGTTGATAACAATTAGAAGTGTTTGATCAGAATAAAGCCACTGCATTAGACAGTTTCCTCTTGTCATTTGAATAGAGAAAAGTTTGCTATCAAAGTTCCTTAAATTTTCGAAAACAATTTCTTTACTTATTTTTAAAAACTTAAAGCTGTGTTAGCCTATACTATACTGATCTTCAGGGAGTAAAGGACAGAGGTAATTTTGCCATGTTGGGTGAAATAAGCTTCGTAAACAAGAAAAATCCTTTGTCAAATTCATCCGTTATGGCGGGGCAATGATCATGTAAGATGAGAAAGCCTAGTAATTGGAGATTTACCTTGTTGCTCTCATAAACTTGAATCTTCTCCAAAGCTTCGTTGTGGGACTCATTTTTGTCATCTAAACTTTTTCGAAGTTGATCTACTTCATTTTCCAACTCTTGAATGCGTGCCTGAGTTTCTCCCGTCGTTTCCTCACTGTCAAGAAAAAGAATTACCTTATTTAACTAGTTCATTCTGGAAAGGTCTACTACATTATAGAAGCAAAAGACATATGTACCACTACCTTCTCTCTTGTAATTCTTTGATTTTTTCACAAGCTGTCTCCTTCTCAGACACAAACTCGGAATTCTTTGCTTCCAATTCGATGCATTCGTTCTGTAGTGCTTCTTTTTCATTTCCAAGTGCGTTTATGACTTCTTCGTGGCTACTGTTCTGCTCTTGCAATTCTTTGATTATTTCACAAGCTCTCTCCTTCTCAGACACAAACTCGGCATTCGTTTCTTCCAATTCGACGCATTTGTCCTGCAGTGCTTCTTTTTCATTTCCAAGTGTGTTTATGACTTCTTCGTGTCCACTGTTCAGCTCTTGCAATTCTTCATCTTTTTGTTTCAAACTTTCTTTCAGATTTTCTATTTTGGCGAGAAGGTCTTCCTTTTCTTTCTGCCATTTTGATTCTCGCTTGTGGTGCATATCAAGATCCTAAATTACGCAAATGTAATATTTTAAATCTGAAAATGAGGATCGGATCGGATTTCAAGACCACTTCGGAAAGGTAGCTTATTTTCTTAATCTATTAAATTTAATTAACTGTCCTATCAAACTTCATTCAGTCCTAGGACTTGATCAAAACTTCATCCAGTCCTAAGACTTGATCAAACTTCATCCAGTCCTAGAACTTGATCAAACTTCATCCAGTCCTAGAACTTGATCAAACTTCATCCAGTCCTAGGTCTTGGTCAAACTTCATCCAGTCCTAGGACTTGATCAAACTTCATCCAGTCCTAGAACTTTGATCAAAACTTTACTCAGACCTAGGATTGAAAATCTATTTAATCGCGTGTACCTGCGTTTGCTAAGTCCGCGTTTGTTAATAAGTCCGCGTTTCCGCGTTTGTTAAGTCCGCGTTTACTAAATCCGCGTTTTCCACGCTTGATAAAATCTAATATTGAAGTACGCAATCGTTCCGGGAAAAGTCTTACTTGGAACTCATTTTAAATTCCGCGAAAAGGGTTACCAGTTTGCTATAAACATCAGCAGCTTTTATCAGTGTCTCTTTGTTTCTGTCAACGATAAGCTACCGTAATTTGGATCAAAATCGTAAAGAATACGCTCAAAAATATTACATAGTTTCGACTGAAGCAACAAAGTTCTTCATGACCATGTACTTAGTCTGCGAGCTGCAGTCCACATAACCTGCGATCAGGCCTATTACAGTCCACACTGTCGCAATTCTCAGCGAAATTGCAACAAATCATGCACATTAGCCATCACATGTAAGGGCAATATTTAGACGTATGCATATATATTGTTGGAACTTGAATAAAAGGAAGGACAAACGAAGCAATACAAAACATACAATGCTAACCGTATATTAAGTATCTGCCATAACTCATGTTTAGATGTCGGAGTTTCGGCTCTATGCACTAGTACAATAAGCTGCCATGGTTTCCGTCTGAGCTGCCTGAAAAATATTTCGATGTTTTGAGAAAAGGTCCTTCGTTTGAAGATTTGTAAGGCTAATATAACTGCCATCTTGTGAAGGTCGCGATGACGTGATTGAAAAATTTAACCTCGGATGTCACTGAAATATATCACAAGAATGAATAACCTCGATGTTTCGAGAATTCATGTCTTGTGATCATTTTCATGTAGTTCAGACACAAACCACGACGTATTATACCTCAAACCAAAACCAAACGGCAAACGCTTTGGCTTCAGCAGGGACTTTCCCGCAGTCGCAGAACCCATTTAACTTTTCTCTTTCCAAAACAGTCATATTTGACGCAAGATTCAACAAAACCTCGCTAAGATATCTTCTATATTATTTTTTTCTTAACATTACCTTATTAGTCTCACGATTTCGTGGCTTAGGCTTCGGTTTGTCTTGGGCAGACATCTCTGCTTCGCTGTTTGTTTCCATATTTTTGCTTTCGTTTTGTTCCAAGAATGCGCTTTCGTTTAAATTGTCTTCGTTTGCTTCCGTAATTATTTCAAAATCGTCGAAATATTCCGAGCGTTTGCTCTTTATTATTATTATAATAATAATAATCTTGCTCATTGAGACTGAAAAATTCTATTCGCAAGATACGTTGCAATACATTGTGCTGGTATTAAATTGTGCTCCTATGGCAAGTAGACTAGTCTGTCTGAGGGATCCATCGCTGACTAATGTCTAATATATTTTCATCCAGTGTATATGTATATATATATAGCGCTGTGACGTAAGGGGAAAAACATTACGTCATTTATTGCTGAAAGCACAAACCTTGACCAAAATGACAAGTCTGACAACCCATTCCTACGCTATGGGTGTATAACTCTATAACATAAAGCACACAGAAGAAACGTGCTGAGCTAATCGCCTCGCGCGGTGGCTAGGCTCAGCATGTTTCTCTTGTGTGCGGGAGTTTTCATGAGAATTCACCTCTCGAGGCCTTTGTCTGCGTCTGCGGATATTGCCAGGGACGCCGGAAAGGGGGAGCGTAGGGGGCATCGCCCCCTTGCCCTCTAGTAAGGGGGGCAGGGGGGGGGGCGAAAGTGCCCTTTGATAAAAATTCTAACCCAAAAAATATGTGGTACAACGATTAGAAAGTAATATGAATTACGGGTGAAATGTACGTAATATTGAAATATACGTGAAATTCTCTGGAATATTGTGTCAAAAATTAGGTTAAACTTAAAAAATGTTTGCCCTTGTTTTGGTGAATTTAGAGTAATTTAGCCACAATTTAGAGTAAAAATAATTATTTGTCATTGATGTCCTACTATTATAAATAAATATGTCTTAGTTCATTGTGATTGCAAATAATAAATCGGAATATCAGAATCAATTTGTTCTCGGACCCTATTATTACGGTTAGTTTAATTTGAAAGTTTGCACCGTCTCTTGCAATGTCTGTTAGTGTTTTAAAAGTTTATTTCGTATTAAATGCTCTGTGTCGTACTGCCGTGCACACTTCGCTGCACATTCCCTGTACTAGCTGTCATTTCATACCCAGAGCAATGCCTGTGCGCGGATTGCATTCCCTGGTACTAAAGGATACATAGGGGCACCATTAACATACTGTATATCTGTAATCTTTGAGACCAGTCTGAATTAATGCCGGTATAGCAACCATTTACATGTCCAAATACCATTTATACAACGCAGCCATTAAAACTGTGAGAGCACCGACGC